AAAGTTTCTAGGAGAGCTCACACTGGTAGAGTGCCAATTATCCGAGTGATTGGTATTGAATTTCTTTTACGTTGCACAAAAGCAGAGAGCTTCGATTAGTTTTTGTCGGGTAAAATTTTATGGTGATCAGTTTAGTAGACTTGACATTCGCATTTGTAACTTTAGGAAATACTACTTCGGATTATAACAAGACCTAAGTAGTTACGAAACAGATTCTCGCGCATAACAGTGGGTATTAATGAATGTCAGTTTAGAGTGATTTATCAGGACCTAATCTTATTTTATTCGTGATAAAAATAAAAGTTTGTTTTCAAAAAAGGTTTTTCTTTTTTTAATTTTTAACACAACACCTACTGACATATTCTGCATTTTTCGTGGACATGACGAATCAATCAATCAGACCAAATATTATTGCTTAGATGAAACAGACATGCATCAGATACAATAGTAGTAGAGATATAAAAGTATTCCAAATTTCAGCTCAATCAATTAGGAACAACTGGCTTAAAATTCAGTAGGTAGCTAAATTTCATTCAAAATTACAAGGCAAGAACTAGTTAGTAAAAATTTATTCTTTAGTGCTAATGAACATTTTATCGAATGATGAAAGACAAACAATAGAAAATTATCAAAGGAAACATTGGATGAAATATATTTTCTTAAGAAGAGCTGAAATAAACAGATTTATATTTGCTTAAGAACTACTTTGGTTAGAAGCCAGTTTTAGATAAAAAATATTCTTCGCAGGATTCTTTGAATATTAACCTGAAGAAAGAAGCTTTAGAGAATCGCTGCTGCCAGTGTAAAATATAGGATCAAACAAAACTTCGTAATATCAAACAAAAACAAAATAAAAAAATTAAAACAAAAAACATTTCTTTGAAAAAATCTTGCCACAAAGTATTGTTAACATACTCGTAGTAATGTTTTTATTCATATTTTTATCATGTAATTATTACCTAAAATCCGGTACTAGTAGAGTGTCAATAGGTTTGAAGTTAAATGTCTATCAATTACGAGTAATACACAGCGCTCACATTATTCTATACTATAACTAAATACACTTGTAACACGTTTGCGTAAAAATAATGCTTAACAGTAATTACAACAGAGTTTATTTTATATTAACACGCACGTGAGATCGTTAAGCTTATGGGTCATATACTCATAGTAATAGACTGCTCCATTGAGGCTTCGTGACTATCAAGATAGTACCTTATTCCTTGAGGTTATGTAATTGAACTCAACGTGAGTTATTAGTATAGTTATAGAATATTTCAAGGCCAATATGGGCCCTCTATTGCGTTATTATAGTAATGTATCAATGTTTGTTGTATCTTTATGTTTATCACGAAAGCTATTTTAAGTGTACTAACTTTTTAGAACCTAAAACTGAAACTGATAAGTATGCGCACAGGGAGTAGTGAAAAGACCGATAGCTGGATTCGCACAACGTTTATCTGTCAAGGGACACGACATTTAATACTATGTTAGGAGTGGATGCAACCACCCACATTAACATTCCTCCCTCTAGCTTGACAATACATGAGTAACATTAAAATAAAACTTATATTAAATAAACATTTAAAAATATCTTTTATAATCCACCCTAGGTACAGGTCGCAATATCTTGCCACAATTGGTTAACCTATCCGGCTGCGGTGGCTGGTGACTTGAAGATGACTCTAGTGAGACTTTATCATCCTTTGATTCGATAGCCTCATAGAATTCTTCGTCTTCTGTCGAGTTACTGGCTTATGTTTCCTTTTCCACTAATCCTTCTCTTCCTTCCCCATCTGTATTGGACGCAACCTCAACCAGTGCTGGGGTCGTAGACTGCGGTGAAGAAGCTTCTTTCGGGGAGATGTCTTTGAAATCAATAGGACAGTTACTCGACTGATGAAGGTTGCTACCTGTACCCTTGAAGGGTATTAATTGGTTTTGATGTTTTTTAAAGTTACAAGAAGTTAAACTGTCTTTAACAATATAAATAACTTTACCAATTCGTAACACAATAACCCCTTTGTTCCAGAATCGTTGTTTATTATTGTTATATGTTTTATATAAAACATGGTCCCCCGATTCAAAACAACGTTTTCGCCTTCACTTTTTGTTGAGATTTCCTCAATCCGTTTTTGTCAATAGTATAGCCTAAATATTCTATTTGGTCAGCAAAAAATACACATTTATCTTTACGTAAGGTTAACCCAGCGTCTTGTAACCTTTTTAAAACTGCATTAAGCCTACCCAAATGCTGCGCTTTCGTTTCTCCTGTTATAAATATATCATCAAGCATACACATAACTCCGTCTAATCCAGACAACAAACAGTCCATTGCCCGTTGAAAAATAGCCGGAGCACTAGCCAGGCCAAACACTAGCCTTGTATACTTGAACAACCCGCGGTGAGTATTTATACAAGTAATCTTTTGAGACGCGTCATCTAGAACAAACTGCGAATATGCTTGTGTTAAATCTAATTTGGTAAACTGCTGCCCCCCGTGTAGTTTCGTAAACAATTCGCGAACAGTCGGCAAGGGGTACTGTTCAATAATTAATTGTTTATTTACACTTACCGAATAGTCAACGCACAAACGGACAGAGCCATCGCGCTTTAATATAGGCACAATCGGCGATGCGTACTCCGAGTGTTGAACCGGTTTTAACACACCTAAACGTATCAAGCGATCGAGCTCACTGTTTACCTTTTCTCTTAATGCAAACGCAATAGGACGAGGTTTAAAAAATACCGGTTTAGCATCATCTTTTAATTGTAATTGCACTTGGTATTTTGTAAACATGCCTAAATCGTTTGAAAAAACTGTTGGGTAACGCGCTTTTAACTGTTCAACGATGTTATCAGACTGAGTGAAATTAATTTGTAACCTTTGCAAGTTAAATAAACTTATAAAATCACGCCCCACAATTGGCGGCCCACCTTCACGTATTACCCGCACACTAATAATACGTGTCTTGTCTGAATACGTAAAAGGCAGTTTTATAATTCCGAGACAGTGAATTGCTCTTCCCGTATATGTAAACAATCGATCACTCGCGAGCGATAATGGCATAGATTTGAAATATTTTTCATACGTTAATTCGGAAATCGCGGTGACCGCCAACCCTGTGTCAATTTCAAACTTTAGATTAACGGCCCGAATTGAAATAACCACCGTCATTGGTTCACCCTTATGTGAACATATCTTATTTATCCTACCGTCATCGTCACTCTCGTTCGACTCGCCGGTACCTACAAAGTTAATCTTTTTGCACATTCGGCGCAGATGTCCCGTTTCATTATACTTTTTACACTTATAATTACTAAATCTACACTGAGCCGTCTTATGATTTTTATAGCCGCACACTTGGCACATATCTTTTTTTACGTCACTGGTTTCACTACGCGCGTATTTATCCGTCGCGATCTTGAAAAGAGGCTCGCTCGCGGCCGGCCCCTGCGCCGACGCTTGAAATGTTGATGATGAAGATGCTGCTGCTCCCTGACGTGCGCTGCGCACGCTCTCCGCCAGCTCCACCGCTTTCACCAGCGTTAGTTCCTCTAGGTCGCGCGCAAATAGTTTATCTTTCTCCGAAGCTGTCGTTGCTAAAGGAAATGTAGGAAACATTTGATTCGCAAGCACAAAGTATTAATGAGCTGTCCCAGATTAAAGAGTATAATAAGTATTTTTACTCATCATCATCATCAACGGCCTTAATTTGTCCACTGCTGGACATAGGCCTCACCTTAGAAAGGAGGCTTTAGCCTACTATACCACGCTGGCCAGACGAGTTGGTGTGGGATTAGTTTCAAGTTTTCCTTCTCTTTGCAGTACTGTTGTCCTGCGTAGTCGGTTCTTATGACATCCACGGGATTAATAAGGGTAGTGAAACTTCGTATTCTTAATCCGTTACAAAATGGATAATAATTAATAATACTAAATAATAGTTAAAATAATAACTTTGTCCGTTTGTTAATTTATAATACATAGAGATTTCCTGATATCTCTTCATTACGTTTTAATTTTATGCTTTACTAGCTCAACTTTGTCTACATCTTTCATCATCATCATCATCTCAAAAGCAATTAATTTTCCCCGTTTTTGCAATATTTTTCATTGATGCTCGGCTCCTATTAGTCGTGTCGTGATGTTATGCAGCCTCTGGCCTTCCTCTAAAAATAGGCTATCCAACACTAAAAGAATTTTTCAATTCAAACCTAAGAGTAACCAAACAAACAATCTCTTCTGTTTTATAATATTAGTACAAATTTAATCGGCCAGTATAACTTGAACTATCATTATACATATTATTACAGATGAACATATAATTCTACTGGTGGCGTCTAATTTACTGTAGTTATTTTTTCGTTTTTTTTAATTACTCACACTTAAAAACCTGAAACATTCAAGTGGTGTTACCAGGTTTTGGGTAGGAAGGTATAAAAATTCGGAAGCACAATTTTTTTTTTATTAGAGCGCATTTTATTCGAATAAATAGCGTATCCCTTTATCGGGCCCTTAAGGCATCTGCCGCTAACAATCTCACCGGTCCGCGGCTCTCGAAGCTAAATAAAAAAAAGCTAAATTAAATCTGATACTATTTTCATTCATCCAAATCTATGAATCAAGCTGTCTGCAACGGGTATATTATGTATAACGTTTCTGAGGCGATCTCCATCAGCCTACGTCATTTCGTGCTACGGCGTTACAGCGGTAACACGTCCGTAGCGGTTTTGTAGACCTCGTAGAGATACGACGCGACGGAAACTTATTGTGGATTGAATATTTGGTATTATGGTTAAATCATTTTATTGAAACTATATGTAGAAATTATTAAAAGTGTTTGTGTTGTTTTTAGTATGTAATTAACTTAAAAAAACAAAAAAGGTTGAAGTTAAAATAGTGGTGGATTTTCGGTGTTTTTGTGTTACAAAATATTATGATGAAACTGCGAACTTTAATAAAATACATTCGAACAGTATAACAATGACTTAAAATTAATATGTTTGAAGGCAGTGTTCCGACATACGTGGATTCAGATAGTGACAAAAACTTTTGGGACTATTTTAATATGGAAGTCTCCAACAGTGAGGTGAATGTGACAGATATAGCTAACGTTGTTCCCGCTCCTGAACAAGGGTTTGTGATAGGGGTGTATAGTGCGTTACTCGCGACTGGAGCTCTAGGCAATATCGGTGTGTTTACGTCACTCATGCGCTCGCGCAGAAGAAAGTCGAGAGTGAATTTGCTGATGACTCATCTGGTGCTTGCGGATATGATCGTCACCTTTATTGTTATACCTTTAGAGGTTCGTTCGTTTGTTAATTCATACCCTGTTATTATTATTATCTTAAAAATATTTTCAGGATCAAAAATAGATGACAATTAAAATGTAATGATGAATTAAAAGTAATGATGACAACTAAAATATTTAAAAAACAGGAATCACCATACCATTATGAGGTTGCCTATTTTTTAAATATTTTAGTTGTGTTACAACACGTAGTAAAGTCGCCCATCGTAGGAAATTTGCGTCTGTTCTCAATATATATAACATACTATTGTATAGTAATATACATAACATATTATTGTATGTTATATATATTACATATAACAGAATTTATGCTAACAGTTACACTGTACTGTTTTTTTGCAAAAACCAGCTCATAGAACTCCATGCGATTTTCTTGATCTTTTCCAACAAAACACTATTAGACACATATTGGGGTTTATTATATATTTGTTCTCTATCCAGGTGCAATTTATCTATAATATTCATGTATTTAGTAATATATATGCATGGTTTTTCAGAATGGTCACCAGAGACTATCTAATTTCTCACCGTACCTGGATTTTTATAATAAGGTGAATGTTTCACCTTTTTATAAAAATCAGCAGAAGGTAGTTTATAGCAGTCACAGTTTCCATTAGGTCCTTTAACACAGTGTTTACAAGCGCAGATAAGAGAATTCAATGATTCACTTCATAATTCCTAATTGATGTCAGTAAATAATAATAATAATTTTACTCATCTTACACACGGCAGTCTGATCCCAAACTAGACAGAAACTGTACTGTGATAACCAATCTGCTGATAAACATTCTTAAAAAATTCTAAAAATATACATATTATATATATATTAAATTAAGGTGCAGATCAAATGATGATGCTTATCACACAATTATTTATCCTGGGTGGGAATCGAACCCTGACTTTGCAGTCAGGGTCACTAACCATTAGACCAACATGCTAGTCTTAAAGAAGTGATATTTGTGTTTTATTTTATTATTCACTATGTTTTGTAACTGTAACAATTTTTTCGTATACGTATATGTATTTTATATATCTTTTAAAATAGAAATTATTTTTAAATTTAGTAAATAACTTGATTGCGCTTGTGAACTGCAAAAATAAAAAAACAACAGATTACGAGTATAAGCTTGCTTGCTATATTATCACAGTTCTGGTCAAGACTAAGCGACTACATCTGGGTCAACCCTACTAAACCAATATAGTGGCTGCGACATCATACTTTTATTACATGGTAAAGCGGTAATACGACGAATATGAATTACGTATGACGTGATATTTCTGGCCGACTTCCCTCACATGACTGTTCGGACTCGACGAAACTCTTGTATCTATAAAAACTGCCTTTATAAATATACCAGTCGGTCATTAAATGTAAACACAACAGAAGGTAGGTTAAAAATGTTTTCGAAAAAATGAACGTTACATCATTCCACATTTAATTGTGACCGCACATTTTTATAAAACCCTGTGTAAATAAAGCTTATAATATTGATATACCAAAAGCAACTTCTTAACTTTCGCGTAATAACTATCATATAGTAACTAGGTCACAGGCTGACCTTCGGTGCTCTAGTTGTAACATCTGCAAGAACAGCCTGGACGAAAAGTCAGGTACTTCAAAAGCAGGTAAGTCAGGTAAATTAATACCAATTACGTTATGACGTTAATTCAAGTATATCCATAATAATAATTTTAAATGAACAGATCGAAAATGAATGGTAAAAGTAGAGTAATAGTGTAAAAAAAGCGCCGTTTAATTTATGGTGCTGACCTGCCAAGAATGTGGTGACACCATTTCATTAAAATTAACTATAGTTGTAGCATTCAATAATAAGTTTTCTTCCTTTACAAATGTTCTTTGGCATGTTGACTGTCATTTTAATTTGATTTTTAAATATATTTTTTCAACTTTCCATGTATATTCCGTATAGTAGAAAATATAGTATATTATTGTGGTTTGTTTATATAACTATTATTTTCACACTTTTCTACACCTTTACAAATATTTAATGAATATTTTAGAAATGTTTAAGACAAATTTAATTCTCAGAATGTAATCCTAAGAAATGAAATATTAATCTTTACCAGGAGTTTGTATTTAACAATAAGTAATAAGTTTTTAGCAATAGCCTGATTTTAAATGGTGGCCGTACCATAAATCTTTTTTTCTTTTCATACAGGCTTTACTTTGTGCTTGATATTATATATTTTTAGTAGGCGTTGACAAAGAAGACCTGGAAAAAAATTAATATGTCGTTGAAATCTATTTATAAAATGTTATTTTGGTTTGTGTACGCTTTAAAAATTAAAAGAATACTGAACCTATTGAGCCCAAATTTTGACACGATCTACAAAATTCAGAATAGTGGTTGCTTGAAGTAAATTTATATTGGAGTAAATAATATTATAACTCTTATACAAAACAATTTATATCTTCACATAACCCCTATACTCGTATAACCCTGGGCAACGTTCCGAATTATTTTGTCTTCTCTTCAAGTTTGAATCTTTCTTAATTATGATTTTATATACATAATTCAAAAAAAAGTGTACAGTATACTGTAAAACTTGTAAGTACAAGATATGCCGGCATTTTAATTAGTGGCTTAGTTTTGTTTCACTTTTTTTTTAAGTAAGGGCGACAAACAGGCAATAAGAAACTAACCAAATATAGCACTCGTAATACTGCCTGTAATATATATTACAGGCAGTATTACGAGTGCTATACATTGTCTCCATACAAGTCTAAATGATAGTTTAGCCAATATTACAAAAGCTTAAGAAATCTTATTCAGCGTACTTTTCTATGCAAAGTCATATAAGGTTTTAAAGGATTGTTTAGGGTTTGGAGGTTGGAAGCTCGGATCAAACAACTATTAACATGCAGACGACCATAATATGCCGTTTTATAAAGCTATAGGTCGTTAGAGCTGACTGAGGGAGTAAACTCCGCAGGACAACGGCACTGCAAAGTGAAGGAAAACTTGACACACACCTTATACCATCCCGTCTTGCCAGCGTGGTCTAGTAGGCCAAAACCTCCTTTCTAAGGGCAGATATGTCCAGCAGTGGACAAATTAAGGCCGTTGATGATGATGATGATGAGTAAAAATACTTTTTATACTTTTTAATCTGGGACAGCTCATTAATACTTTGTGCTTGCTAATCAAATGTTTCCTACATGTCCTTAGCAAGGACAGCTTCGATGTTGCCTTGCTCTCGGCTCAGATAAGCTATATTTATAGTGAATAACTTCTATAACTTACGTGAAAATATGTTATTGTTGAACTGCGAAAAAATTGTAAAGAAATCAAAATGTAATTGTGTGGCAAACAATCGTTGAAGCTATTAACACTGTTGTTACGAACGACTAGTTGACTATTAAAGGCTTTTGATGATGATAGGATTATAATATCATAGCGATATTGTTAAATGGTTATAAGCGGTGATGGCTGCTGCCTACAGATTGCAATCATAATAATCATCCTCATAACCTCAACCATAACACATCAACATTAAATGCCAAGTCGACCAAGTAGAAGAGACCTATTATGAACAGATAATATCTGTTTCTAATAGTATACAGTATATAATTCAGGAACCAGTACTTGCTGTATGTTTTATAATCTACTCGTTTATTAAGTATTAGCTGACCCGCTCAATTAAAGGAACCCTCATGAAATCATTTTGTATTGTGTCCCGATTTTTTGATAGGTGGAGTACTATTCAAATAAAGATGTTTCTGCCTAACTAATCCTTAGTTATTTAAAAAAAGTACAGATGCAATAACTTCATAAACGTTTTGGTGAGCTAGTAATAATTTGTAATATTTCTCAAATTATAAACAAAGCACAAAAAAATTAAAATACCAACTTTAAAGTTCAGAAATTAAAAGTGATTTTCGGTTTTTCTGTTATTACCTTTTAGGTCCTAGCAAATTCCCACTGGAATAGGCTTTGATTTGATAAAGTACCAGTCTGTCGTCAATTACAGGGTGTAGATCTAATATCAGATTTTTATACCGGCCAATAAATAACAAATGGCTGACTGGTCTTTGCTGAGGTAGTCCTAAAGTCCTTTTGATTTTATTATTCATATCTAATAAATTGTAGCTTTTCCCGACCATTAGATTCTCCATTAGTTTTATTTACGTTCACATGCATATGTATCATCACAATTTTTTTGTCAAGAGGGTAATAAAAAAAGAAAGTGTTCATTAAAACGTTGGAATAGCGATATTAGCCCAGATTCATGAAATTTTTGGCTAAAGCAAATTCTTAAAATACAAGTATTGCAAGTAAAGAACTGAATCCGAGCGTACGTAATTTGTTATTTTTTATTACAATATTGTATTTTGCACAAGAAAAATTGGCAATGGGAGTATACTTATTTGGACAATGTGGGGACTTTTGCTCAGTGTTCGAGTAACGTCAATCTGAAAAACGTAATACTAGCAGCCTTCTGTCATCTGCATCGATTATTGGATGTTTGGCATTCTTTAATAATCAAAATCATTATGGGTAACTTTTTGTTTTCAATAGGAATTTAAAGGACTGTCAGTTTATAACAGTGGCAGAAATAACACCGTCTATATTACATTTTTAATCAAATCGGTATATTATTTTTTTATCTTAGATTTTTATAGATATAATGCTTCCTATTTCTTTGTATCTTTATGTATTCATTAACGTCATACCACGAAAATACACGATAAACTTGATAGTAATCAATACACCAGTTGATAAAAAACTCTAAATAAAGTGTTTTACAGATTATGAACACATTCGAAATCAAAGATTTGATAGAGTTAGAGGATAGAGTTAGTTAGAAGATAGAGTTAGAGGATAGTCAGTTAGAGGATTTTTTACCCCCCACGGAAAACGAGGGGTGAAGGTTAACGTGTGTATCTGCATATATTTGTATCTGCCTGTCTGTCTGTGGCTTCATAGCTTTCGAAAGGATGGACCAATTTCGATACGGATTTTTTTGTTCGAAAGCCGATGTGCTCGAGATGGTCCTTAGCTATACATTTTGAAGATCATCAGCTCAATTCTTAGATGATGAAGGAATCTCAC